AACCGGCAGTTGACTTCTGACTTCAAACTACCCCCACTGTATGCCATATTCGACCACTTTCACAGTACTCATCTTACCTTTTCTCTGCTTTTTTGTCTGTCCCTGTCACACCTGTGAATCATTATTCTGTCCCCCCTCTCGACTTTTTGTCACTTTGATGTTCCTCCTCCTCTCTGTGAATCCCGAAGTCAGCTAAATGGCTAATGATAACTATCAAAACGCCTGCCATTTGAAATAAATAAATGAATAAATATTTGTTGATTCACAATCATATCGTAAGAACAACTCTGTTTTTTCAATATAGTAGATCTAAAAAGCAACTTACTTCAACTGGTGGGGGTTCCGTGAATTTAAAGAGGGAAGTAAAATCCCTTGGAACAGGTGGTTTACGTTTCACTTCTTCTTTGTTATCTTATTATTAGGAACCTTTAAATTATATTTATCTGAGCTGAGTTCTCGATACATAAAAATTTAATATTTGCTCATCATTTTTGATATTTACATATAAGAAAGGATAATGCCACTTGAAGGAATAAAATGTCAATTTTATATTGTAATTAGTGATCTTTCAAACAAATCCGTAAAATTATGTCAGTAAACAGAGCTCCAAACTAAAGAAACGTTGTTTTGTCTCTGGGTGCGCAATTTCAAAAGTCGATCATTAACCTTTTCAAAATTCGTAAGCACACAATCTTCTTAATAGCTTTGGATTTATAGATACAAGCGTTTGTTAGTCCATCGGTATTCTAATCTTCAACTTCAGCAATATGCAGATGATTCATACAGCCATTTTGTGTTCTTTATTGAGCTAATTAAGCGTATGGATGTGACTGGACTTTGATCTACCTACCTGTGGGCGACTTAAACGTAGTGTTTGGAAATAGATTTGCTACTGCTATAAGAATGTAGATGAAGCTCTACAAAGGCCTTCAGTTTTGTTTCTCCATTGCTTTCACCAGCAGACTATTCTCAACTATTGGAAACCCATCTTCTTGTGCAAGGCGAGGCATTTTGTTGGTTGACTCGTTTCTATCTATTTTGACTCATGAGCTCTTGTCCTTCTCAAAACTCAAAAAAAATATTTGGCGTAGCCTCCCAAAATAAATATAAGTAGGAAAAAAGTGGCAAATAAGAAACATTCTTTCAGACAATCGTTCGTTGCCACCAAATTACATTACAGTGGTCCCTTAAATTTCCAGTTACAAAATTATGCTGTCATCAACTAGTCTTGAATACGGGAATAGGACTTGGGAGGGAGGGAAGCAAAGGTCAATTTAAGATGTGGAAGACCAATTCTCAAACATCACTTCGTCTCTGGTTCTGGGTCGCATCTTCAATACTATTGTTACTCGGTTGTAGAGTCGAGACTGCGTGCTCCTTATTCAATGGAAGCACCTGGTCATTTCCGTGACTTTCCACTCGTGCATCTTCCCTTAACGTGTCTATTTGTGGTCGCCAAAATACAACATAAGCAAATTCAATCAATTCCACAACAATGGCTGCAGTAAGTCCGATGAAAATGGAGCAAAGACCACCTATTCGGGATATCAAGATGTATATATCAAAGATGAGACGTTCTTCGTAGTATTTGGTCTCCTTAGAGGCTCTAACCAAACTGATGTAAGTGTAATAGGCTTGGTTTTGAAAGTCCTCAATTCTCAAAGTTGAGCTGGTATTAAATTTTGTGTGTTCACCATCCTCGTGTTTGATTACGTATTTGAGATACTTGATCAAGCGCTCACGTTCAGCCTCATTGTCTGGATCATTAATAAGACGCTCAACGCGCTTGAATTTGTCAGTGTATAACTGTAGTTTCTCCGGAATTGGATTCCATGAGGCAATACTAGCACTGATGGGATACGTGTAATACGAACAGTGTGGAATGCATATTCGCTTTTTTATCGCATCTTCCTTGAGGTCTTTTACATTAAGATGATATATGCAATTATAACGATCAACCATCTTGTTAAGTGCAGATTTATCGGAGGTATTCGCAGGTAATGCTGAACAGTAAGGAATTTCAGTATTTACATGGCTTGGATTGATGGGTCTTGGCCATTCAGAGTTGACGCAACCACATTGATTGATGGAAATATTTTGCATATAACTATCCAGACACTGCGTGAATCGATACAAGTAACTCCTACCCATGTCCATTATTGGTGAAGCATTTTCTACACAAGGATTTTTTGGAGTTTTAAGGCGAACCCAGTACTCTGTATTGTAGGAGAGCTCATTCATTCTACCCGGTTGTAAATTGATTCCATCCTTATCAATCTCCGGATAGGTTCCACTTTGATGCACGGCTACCTTTACACCTTCACCACGCATGAATGTATCCATGACAAAGTTCTTTCTGCTTTCATTAATATCTTTAGATGGAACAAGGCTGAGCAAAAGAGTTAAACGGGATGTGTCGTCCGATGTCTTTCCAGGCGCAGTCTCTATAGTCCAGCAATTGAAGAATTTCGGGTGCGAGAATCGTTGCTTTATAAAGCCGGTATCATTTTCGATTGTACAGTTCTCAGCCACAATATTAGTTCCATCACTTTGAAGCATACAGTGGGGGAACATATTTGCCTGATGTCCAAGGAGTTCCGATTCTTCCGGTTTAAGGTTAGCGAAGTATGTTTCTGAGGTATCATGGAGTAATAATGCGGCTTTGTCGGGGTTACCACTCTGAACGAAAGCCAGAACTGAGGCACTAAGTTTACGATTAAATTCACTTGGTGTTAGAATGGATTCCTTTTCCCAAATTCGATTAGCTTCAAGTGAGAAAGGATTATGAGCACAGATTGTGATTGCAGGGAAATCAGTTTTATCATCAATTAAGTTCCGAGAATTCCAAGCTGTAGTGTAGGATAGAAAATCTTTTGCGAGGAAGCCGATTGTAATGATGAGAGCACCAGTCATTAAGAATACAAAGATGGACCAGATCATTCTGATGAAGGGTGTTTGAGCCCGCCTTATCCTTTGAACGCCTCGAATTGAAGTGAGATCGCAGAATATAGCAAACTTGCTCTCCACCGCCATTTCTGTTGATTTCGACTTGGCTAAGCAAACAACATTAGATAAATTGGCAATTTAGAAAATTGAAATCATTATTTTGACTAATCTATACGGAAATAACACGCTTCTCAAATACCTACTTCGAAAACTTGAGTTTGACTAAAAGAACCTCGGTTGTTGTATAAACTATCATAATGGGACGTGAATGGTCAACTTCACTGGTTCCAAAAGCCTTCTCATTGCCAAAATTTTATGCCATTGACTGCTCTTCAAATAAGATAAGAGGGGTATTTAAAAGGCTGTTTCCTTTCCAACATAATGTCATAAAATTTTTATCAGATTTAACTCATTTGGAGCTTTTGCGAATTCCTTTTCGTTCTTTTAAATGATTGGCTACTTTCATATAAGGCAATAAATTAGGCGGACAGATTATTGATAAAATAACCAATAATTAGTAGAACGTCTTTTAAACTGGCGCCAAAAAGTAATTACATGTCAATCTCGTTTTTTATCTTTATTCAAAGCAAAAGTATAGGGGTTAATTAATCCGACAATGCAATTTAGGATTTGTAGCAATAAAATTAATATAATTTATAACTTAAGTTTGTAAAAAATTTCGGAAATGGAAAGTACGGAATTATTCATTAAGCAATAAAAAGGTAATTCAATAAGAAGTCGCAAATTCAAATGGTATTTAGAAATTCCTAAATTGTCTCACATAATTTCAAAATTAATCATTTTTTAACTCAATTTTCAGCTCGAATCAAGCTTATTTAATTTGACGGGTTGAAGTTTCTGCCTTCATCAGTTTTTGTCCCTTTTTAATCCTTCTGAAATGACAAAACATTTGGTCGTAATATTACATTAGCTTATGTGTCTAAAAATGTTCATCTTTCTTCTCATAATCTTTCAATTCTTGAATTGGCCTTGATATAGACTATTAAACTAGACACTAATTATTATTTTAATTAAGACGCGCAGGCTGTTTCTACTTAAATGGAGTCTAGAAGTGATCGTTTTTTTCATAATAATTATAATTAGTGTAATTAATAATTTGTATTCAATAGATAATATTCATTGGAATACAGGCACAATTTATAGCAATTTATTAAAAATAATGTGAATCAAAATAGGTTCATCAACTGAATGAATCAACAACTTATTAGAAGACAGTAGAACGAATTAATTAATTCCACATGTATGAATAAATTTACTATTTCTTTACGATCATATGATATAAATAATTTTCTTTAGAATATGAAAAGCTAATTTAAATATAGATTAGATTTTTGTTTCTTCCGAGCCGTGTAAGATTACTTTAAAAAAATTTATTAACCTATATAATGTGCTGATTACGCTATGGAAATGAAAAGGTGTAACACTTAAATAACGCAATATAAGAAAATAGTTCTCCGTTAATATTCAATAAAATAGTTTTGAAAGCACTTCAATTATTAATATCCATCAATCAGGTTCTTTAAGGCTTGAATGTGCATAAATGAATATGAAATACAAACCATTCAATTGGACCAACCTTTCTGATTAATGTTCATTTGGTTCATTTCATCTTTAATACCGAATTGACTGATCCCACTTTGAAAATGGAAAATATAGAAGAAAGAATGCTAATTTCTAATTGGCTGCTTTAAATTGGCCAATCTCGCCCCGCCTAGTTTCTTGCAGCTCAATCCGTTCATTCCCTTCTTCTCCCAATGCTGTAGCATATCAATTGTCGCTCAAACTGTTAATCTCATTGTTTAAAACTACTTTGAATAAGTCAGAACGCTTTATAATTAACTCAAGCAAATTGATTGCCTATAGAGAAATGTGATCCACTTTATTTTGCATTAAAAAATGCCTTTTACTTTAATGTCCAACAAAACATACTGCAGAATATAAAGTTTTAACCAATGACGTAATGACAGAACTAAGTGAATGACTTCTATACTGGACTAGAGTTGGAGATTAATTTAGTGATTAATTTAATTTGTTCTTTCGCTATGGCTCAATAGTTACCATTTTTCGTCTTTTAAAAATTCTGTTATGGATCAGTGAGCGTTTTAAATAATAAGAGAACATTAAACCAACTTGAGTCCATTATTATTCTGAGCCGTTTCGTGCCAGCACTTCCTCTTGTGCCTACATATTTCCGCTTCTTTTAAAAACGAACAAATAATTCTATTTTGTCTAAATATGATAAAATTTTAGAGCATTTACCATTTAATTTCAGCTTTGGTTTTAATAAAAGGTGATTACTGTTCGAATTATACACATTATTTAATGAATACGCTGGTATATTAATAAATAAATAATATTAAGTGAATGTACATTAGATAAGTCTTAATTTTACATCAAATTTTGACTGGACAGTTTTTAACGGTCGTTAAAATTTTCTGTTCATGCGTTTTTGGAATGATTCTTCTCGATCGGTAGACAATAAAACAGCTGTTTCCTGAAAGGACCTAAGGTGTCGAAAACTAAGCGGATTCATGAAAGCCAAAATCTCCACCTGCATATATAAAAAAAGTAAATGTCTAATGATCCCGTAAATACAATGATTGTATGAACTGTATTATCATAGTCATTGTTGGGACATTCGCGGAATCTGATTTATATTTAAAACACTTTTAATCAATACAATGTGGTTGTTTTGAAATGAATCGCCGAAGTTACATTGATTTTAAATTTTTATTAGTCACCAATGGTTTTATTTTAGTGCTTAGAAGTAGTTATAATCGACATTTAGCAAACTTAAAGAAAATAAAAAGTAGCCCTGGCCTTATTAGAGCACTGTTTTTTATTTTCAGCCGTTTTACACCCATCGAAAAGTTGACAATTTTATCATTTTTAACGTGAGAAGAAAAATCGGAATACGCGCGCCTCAGTTTAGGTTAGTGGATGGGGATTTATACGAAATTTAATTTAATTTTTACGCCTTATCTTCTCCAATGAAGCCGAATATTTCGTGTTTTATTATTCGCTTTGCAAAAATATGCAAAAATATTGGTTGAATTCCGAGAGAATTCATCTTTGCCAGTTTATTTAATATAAACGATAGATGAAATATTTATTTATATCAAATGGCAGGCGTTTTGTTGGTTATAATTAGCCCTTTAGTTGACGTCAGGCTTCACAGGGGGGAAGGAACATCAAAGTTAGGAAAAGTCGAGAGGGGGGGGGGCAGAAGAG